TGTCTCTCTCCTCCAATTCACATAATCCTCAGCTGTTAGCATAATCTTTCTCAAATTCCATTCTCCTGAAGTCACTGCCTAGCTCAATCACCACCAGCAGCTCCCTAGGTCTATTTTACCAACCTAAAGTCATCAGTTTGGAACCCAGAGCTTATCAACTGTGCAATACACCACCATTTCAACCAAGTTTAAATGGCCTCCACTCCAGGAAAGCTAATTTGCTTACCATTTTTCTGCTTTCCTGTGCTTTTGAAGTCTGTCTAGCCCTCCCTGCCATAGGCCCGTGTAGGCCATCTCAGAGCTCACCTCAACCGGGATGCATTTGATTAGCCTCAACACTTCGGAATGCTTTGACCTGAAATCCCTTAGGGACCTATGTGCAAAGCCAGCCTGTTCTCTGGGTCCAGAAAGGAACAGTCACAAGAGCATCAAGTTATGACCAATAAGGGCTAACATTGAGTAGTGATGTCATTTACTCATCAGATATATTTATAATATTTTAATAACTTTATATTTGTGCAGGACACTATACTAAATAATAGGGACTTCAGGGTAAGGCAAAGTCCCTACCTTCATGGAATTTATATTAAACAGATATAATTAAAATTGCCATACATACTATGGAGGAAAAGAATAAAGATGTTGTGAGAGAGAATCATAGGGTACAGCTAATAATTTTGGTTAGGTAGGACAGGGAATATTCTGAGGATGTAATATCAAGGCCTGAAGGATGAGTTGAATTTAGCTAAAGAGTAAGGGCAGGGGTGCCTGGGTGGTTTAGTTGGTTAAGCGTTTGACTCTTCATTTTGGCTCAGATCACGATCTCACAGTTTGTGAGATCAAGCTCCGCATCGGGCTCCTGGCTGGCGGTGTGAAGCCTGCTTCAGATTCTCTCCCTCTCTCTCTGCCCCTCCCCTGCTCATACTCTCTCTCAAAATAAACAAACCTTTAAAAATGTATAAATGAATAGCTTCTCTTTGTTAAAAAAAAAAAGGGCAAAGTGTTTTAGGAAGAAGTAATATGTATAAAGGATTCTACTTTAATCAGTATTTTTTAAGCATCTACTAAATATGTAATTCCTTTCAAAGAACATAAAAAGAAATAGAAGGCCTAGCCTTCCCTTAGAGAGATATGACATAAATAATCTTGATTATATTAGTCTGCTCAGCATGCTATAAGAAAACACCACAGACTGGGTGAAGTAAACAACTGAAATGTATTTTCTCACAGTTCTGGAGGCTAGAAGTCCACGATCGAGGTGCTAGCAAACTTGGTTTCTGGTGAAAGCTCTCTTCCTGGCTTGCAGATGGCTACTTTCTTGCTATGTGCCTCATGTGACCTTCCCTCTACCCTCTTAGGTCTCTATCATGGACGTGCAAATTAAATTGACAAAAGACAGATTAACACATTTTTTAAAACAAGAGTTAGAAACAAGAGGTGGTTAGGACTTAGGCATCTTACATACCATCTTAGCAAACAGCAATAAATTTGTGGAGAAGTGACAAAACAAAGGAGAAAAGTTTTGGCTTCTGGGGTAGTAAGTGGTGGAAAGGTAAATACATGGGGAAACTAACAGAAGATAAAGGTTATTTCAGTAAAGTTTGTGCAGATTCAAATCAGTGCCAATTTCTTGTTCTAGTGATAATGGTTGTTTTCCTCCTCCTGGTACAGGAGAGGGGAGAGGATACAACTTCACAAAGAGAAACCGATGTCCTGATTTTAGGCAAATGGGGGAAAGCAGAGAGTTCTTTCTGTGTTTGCTGCTTCCTAATTGTTTTCAGGTCAAAATAATCCTTATGCCAAAGTGACATATTCTGGTCTCCTTTGGGGAATGTAGAGTATAACAGGGAGGTGAGACAAGGCAGAGACTAGACCTTGGAGGACCTTATAAGAGAAGTTAACAGGTTTGTGTGATCTTCTGAGAGCAATGGGAAATCTTGAGTTGGGAGGGGAGGCTTAGGAGGGAGTCCTGACATGATCAGACTTGTTTTTGAGGGTAGGTAAGGCTGGAGAGAGGAAGAGACGAGAAGGTATATTCAGGGTAAAATTAGTAGGGCTTTTGTGACTAGACGTTAGGGTCAAAGAGAGAGAGTGGTTTCAGGCCTGGGCAATGGAGAGGACGGTGGTACCTTAAACTGACATGGGAAGTACTTCAAGTATGAGTAACAAGGAGTTCTATTCTGAACAAGTACCTATGAGGCATCCAGTTGGCAGCTAGCCATTCTGGTCTGTAGTTCTAAGAAGCACTCTGACTAGACATACAGATTTTGGAACAATTTTAGATGAGAGTGGAGGCCAAGAGAAGGGATGGGTTTGGAAAGGAAGAAAATGTAGGGTGAGAAGAAGGCCTAGAACAGTCCCATGAAGCATTCTAACATTAAAGAGCCTACAACGGAACTGATAAAAACAGAGCAGTAGGAGGAAAACCAGGAGACTGGGTGATCAGAGATGCCAAAGGAAGGAGATGATTTGACCAAGAGGGAGAAGCATACACAGGAGCAAATGCCTCAAGGTCAGGTAATATTAGATGGTAAGACAGCAGCATCAACAGGGACAAAAGAAGGTACAGACAAGGGGGACTGAAGGAATTCAGAAGAGTAATCTTGTTGGGGGCTATGTTTATAGCGGGACCTGCATCTTGGCAGTGATACCAAGTCTAGGTCCTTGAACAGTGCCCTAAAAGCCGGCCTCTGAATCTGAATGAACATGAAACAGACCAAGAGTCAGGCTAAGGAGAAGAGATCATTTACCATGTTTGGAATAATGCTTATTGTAACCCAGCTCCGTTCTCCAGCTAAACATATGTGGATAATGGATGACAGCAGGATGCCTAAGTGGTTGCTGGATGGCAAGTTAAAGTAGGTCAATCAGGAACACAGAAGGAAGTTAAAATGCTTTCAAAGATCCCATCAAAGCACAACTTCAAACAACGTGGCCTTGTTGTGGATGAGCAGAAAACCACAACAGATGTATTAGCCCAGTGAAGAACTGTTTGAAAAGAGATGCCATTTTTAGGGAGAAAAAAAAATCCCAGGAGATTTTAGAAGCAAATTGTAAGCTCAAAAGCCAGATTTTAGAAGCAAATTCTAAGCTTAAGAGCCAGAGCACAAAGCATAACAGACTCATTCTCACTCTAGATGCACATTTTCACACACGAAATATCATCATTATGTACCCTGTGTTGCAAGTTCCTACCTTCAAGTTTACAAGAATCTATGGCACAAAAATCTATTGGCAGCATGTTGTATGTAAAAGACTTGTGTGTGTGTAAAATGACCACAAGCTTTGCATGAGCAAATAATGTCACGTGCCAATTAAAAATGCAAATACAACTTTAGTCCACTTTACTAGAAGTGAACCCGATAATAAAAGCAATAGCCTTGGCGCTCTCTGCATTAATCAGAATAAATGTGGGGCACCTGGGTGGCTCAGTCAGTTGAGCGTCAGACTTCGGCTCAGGTCGCGATCTCACGGTTTGTGGGTTCGAGCCCCGTGTCGGGCTCTGTGCTGACAGCCAGCTCAGAGCCTGAAGCCTGTTTCAGATTCTGTGTCTCCCTCTCTCTCTCTCTCTCTGACCCTCCCCTGCTCATGCCGTCTCTCTCTCTCTCTCAGAAATAAATAAAAACATTAAAAAATTAAAAAAAAACAAAACGGAATAAAAGTGGTGTTACAACCAGCTAAAAGCATCACGTGTTAACAGTGATATCTCTTGTCCGTCTCCTTCTTTCCATTACTATTACAGATTCTCTCATCGCACATCTAGTAGACTGTTTCCAAAGATGGTCCAGCAATCAATTCCTTCTGGTGGCACAAGCCTTTTGTAGTGTCACATTGCTACTTCTCCCATCTAGAGTCTATTTCTCCTCCCCTTGAATCCACGCTCACCCTGTATCTTGCTTTAATCAATGAGAAGTGATGGGGGTTTGACTTACAAACCTAGACCTTAAGGGGCCTCATAGCTTCTGTTTTTACCCTCATGCTTGCCAGCCACAAAGTCAAGAATGGGGCTAGGCTACTGACTGATGAGAGAGAGACCAACGCTGAGACACGAGCCATGTGGAGATACGGAGGAGAGCTGAGGGGCTCCGCCAACAGCTAGCACCAAGGCCCCAAACATGGGAGTGACACCATTTTGGACTCCAGCCCCAGTCAAGCCAATGACAGCAATATTCTATATCTGTGCTATCCAGTATGGGAGCCACTAGCCACATATGTCTATTGAATCCTTGGAATGTGGCTAGGGTGTCTGAAAATTTTCGTTTTTAGTTCACTTGATTTTAACTAAGCTTTAAGTAGCTAGTGACTACCCAGTTGGACAGTGTAGAAGATTCATAATCCTGCTTTAAAAAAAAAAAAAACCATGACACAGGGCAGAAAATCACCTTGGCACTTACCCTTTATGGTGCTACAAATAAGCAATTACTAGAGATGGTTGGTGGTGACAGATATAGCTCTGTTAACTAGTATTAAAAAATAAAAACAAAACAAAACCTCTCCCTTCAATACCACCCAAAGGAAGGAGGTAATCCATTCTAACCTGATTTCATCTGCATACAATGTGAAAACCAGAAAGGGAAATTCCCACATCATAAATATACCATGAGCTCCACATTTAGCTTAGAGATGTCCTGAGTAGACAATCAACTTTCAAAAAGTGTTTTCATCATCTACCAAAAACCAAAATGTTCACAGTTCCCTGGTTCACACATTTTGGGGGGAGAGGGAGCAGGAAGGAAACCTGAAAGAGCCTACTGTGTGTGTTAGGCACAGCCACATTCACCAATCCATTTAATTCTTTTAATCATTATTTTCGGGCTAAGAAAATAGAAGTTCAGAAATGTGACTTGCCTAAGGACCTAAACCTAGTTCGTGCCAGAGGGAACGTTCAAAATCAAGCCTCCAGATTTCCCAATAGGCCAAACGCCTCTCCTGTCAGGAATAACAATTTCCATGATCTGGTCACCTAAGTCATTATTTCCAGTTAGTGACTTAACTCTTACCAGACTGATCTCATTTCTGCTTCCCTTCACTTGACACTCTTCTTCTAACTCCACCTATCCTTCAGAGTCCAGGTTAAGTCTCCCTATTTCCTTCCCTGAAACTTTTCTCATCTTAATCCCAATTTAATTCCCTCTCTTGGAATTTTTACGTCGCTTATTATGGGCGCCACATATAACAGTCTGTTACACTGCTTTTCCTTTAAAGAGGCCGTAATCTCTTCAGGGTGGACAGCCCATGTCCTCACTAGTCTTTGAAGGCTGGCAATCTTTCCAAATGTCCTAGTTCCCTTTGAGTCCGAAATGATGAATGAACTAAACTCAACAAATATTTCTTAATTCATTAAAGTCAACCCCACACTATAGTGTTTTACCCTCTCCTCAATCTACCGCGCATCAATTGATCCGAAGAGCCTCAGTGGCGAGTGGAAGCGGTAGTCCAGCCACGTAACGCTCCCCGCCTACTCCGGTAAGCCACGCCCAGCCGGCTGGTCGCCGATTGGGCGTAGCCCAGCCTGGGGTGGCCGATTGGGCGTGGCGTGCGTGAGTGAAGGCGTGGCCGAGAGGAGAAAACTAAGCTGTGGCTCAAACTCGGTAGTCCCCGGGAACCCTCGACAATTTCCGGCAACAGTCCCCTCCTCCGCTGATCGGCCTCGGGCATTTCCGGTCTCCTTCGGGCTTTTCCGTCTGGCTCCCGCGCGGATCTCACCACTTCGGGTATTTCCGTGTCCCGCTCGGAGGTACTCGGCAATCGCTCGGCCTCCCCCATCCCCCGGTAACGGTCGCTGGTGAGTTTAAATGAGCCGGGGCTGGCCGGGCCGGAGCCGCTACGGGGGGGCCCTGAGGCACTGCAGAAAGTGGGCCTGAGCCTCAAGGATGACGGTGCTGCAGGAACCCGTCCAGGTAATGATAACCCCGCTCGCCGAGGCTTGGCTCGCAGCCTCGGCCGGGAAGCCGCGTATGGCCACTCCGCGGCCTGGTGCGGCCTAGGCCCGGCTGCTTCTCCCGCCTCCCCTGCTGCCGGGTCCTGCCTGTCTCCGCGTCGGCTCGGAGGCCTCGCCCGCAGCCTAAGCCGGGTTGCCTCAGCTCCTGCGTTGCTTCCACCCCGGGTGTGAGCAGGCTTCGGCTATAATGCCTGGGTCCCCCGCCGGGCCACGGGCGGGCCAGCCCCTCCTGTCAGTCCAGGGGCCTGGCCCCCCGGCTGGGGTGAGAGACCAGGGGGCTGAAAACTCGCCCCAGGTGCTCCCTTGCCGCGGGATGATTGGGAAGCACATTTGATCAGAGCTTGTATGATCTTCGTAATGGTGGGGCAAGTTGTTGGGGTGGGGGTGGTGGGGGGTGGTGTTCGGTTTTGTTTTTGTTTTATGTGAGAGGGCGGAGGGCCGATAAGATCGGTATTTTTAATACTGATTTCTGTTTTGGTAACAGACGTCCTATAGCCCACGTTGCTTTCCTCGCTCAGTGAATTTCCCACTGGACAATGATCCGGGAAGAGAACTCCCGAGGCCCAGCGCTGAGGGGCAGGCACCTATGTACGAGGGGAGGGAGTGGAAACGACAAATCTGGGTGGTTTTCTTTTTTTTCTTCCGTGACCTGTGTGATGGGGATCAGGAGTGTTTTGTTGTGCATGTTGATAATGCGTTCAGGAAATGAAAGACAAATAAGGGTTTTTACATCCATTTCGCTGTCCTTACACCAAGGTATGCTTTGACGCACAGTGCTCTGTTGGCATGGGAGAAACCCTATTGGATTTGAGGTGTGATGCAGTGCCAAGTCATTTTCCCCCCTGCCATTTCAAGAAACTGAATCTTTTGTCCCTTACTGATGGACCAGGTCTGGGAGACTTTCAGCTCACCATAGGCTCTTTGACTTGAATAGAAGAGTTGACCTCTATCAAGTGCTGTCATTGAGTTATGGACTTTTTTTTTTTTTGAAGTTACAAAGCAAATCGATTTTAGAAATTACCTCCCATTACCCTTAATAGGCCTGTGATATAAAATAATAAATATTTTACTACATCGCTGCTTCCACATTTCCTTAAGTTTTCTTCCCAGAATGAAATATAAATTTCTCCCAGTTGATTTCTTTTACATATAACAACTATTAGAATTTGAACCAATATAATGTGGAATTCTGTCTTAGGAAATTTACCTGTTTGTAATTGTATCAATGCTTCCAAAGCTGTTTCTTTCCATCCAGATTCCTCTTACTGGTAGAGTCCCTTTTAGGATTTTTATTTTTAGGCCTAATATTAAATTAGAAGTTATCTGTATATTTTGTTGTTGTTGTTGTTGTTAAGTAGCCTCCACGCCTAGCATGGAGCACGGCCCTGAGATCAGGAGGCACCCAGGTGCCCTAAAAGTTATCTGTACCTTCTTAATGAATAAGTATATCTCTCAAGTTGTTTCATTTCTGTTTCATATTCTTGTAATTTTGTCTTCATTAATGATACATTTGCCTTCTCTGGCCCCAAAATTTTTCTCAAATGATAAACTAGTTTCAATGCTAGCCTATCACCACTATTTAATAACAATTTCAACTTGTGTAAAAACAAGGAGAAGAAAAAACTATGTAACCGCTTCCTAGATGGTATACATCAAGTTTCCTCTTTCCTTACTGTATTCTTAGCAGTAATGCTCTTAGGTGTTTTTAAGGCTTAAAAAAGTCAAATTTGTCCCCATTTTCTTCCCCCATACTACCTTCGTCCATTAGATTTGGGACTGTGGTAGGAAGTTTTAGGATCTGGCTAGGTGAGAATTTTGGTTGTAATTTATAGTAGAAGAGGTCAGATATTCACTAAGGGGTCTGTAGCAGTTGGAGAAACCAGCAACTTTAGCTGCCATGCAGATCAACTGATTAGGGATAGGGCTGAAAATGGGAAGGAAGTGCTAAGGAGAAAATAGGACAGATAGATACTATGGGGTTTTTTTAAAACTATGATAAGTAATTGCATGTACTTGTAAAGGAATGAGAGGAAGTTGGAAAGTTGTTTGAGGCATCATGATATTACCAGGCATAGGAAAAAATTGAGCAACCGTTTGCTGCTTTTATTTCTTTAAAGTTTTGACATGGAATAGTCAGTCTGATAAACTGCATCAGCCTAAATATTAGCTGCTCCTCCAAACTGTCTCTCATAGAAAAATTTTACTTTGTATTTGAGTCTTTACAAAAAGTCTCTCCTATTATGAGACAGAAATTCTGTCAATTATTTTATTTTTAATTGTTGGGGGAAGACACACAGCCTAAATGATTTCAATCAGTGTTAATTTGGATATTTATGAAATTCACCTGATAAAATTGAGTTTAAAAAAATCAAAGACATTTTAATGGATTTATCAGTTATTCCTGGGGGTAGCACTTCACAGACATGTTGGATGAAGTTGTAAACACGCTTTGTAAAAATTGCCTTAATAAGCAGCATAGTAAGTGAATACTGTACACATGATATTGTTTTAGAGATCATTTAGATAGTGAGGGAATACTTTTGGCTTGGAATAAGATCTACAGGGATAGCATCTAGAATGGATTCAAAAGGTACCATATTTCAGGTAACTTAGAATTAAATGTAGTGTCATTAGAAAAATTGTGTTAGATGAGAAAATGGCTTTGTTGATATCAAAGATAGATGTGAACAGTTTCCATAAAATTGTTCTGTTCAATGAGAATAGAAAAAAATGAAACTTGCAAATTTTGTCATTTAAAAAATATGTATGTGTAACTTGGGCGCCTGGGTGGCTTAGTCAGTTGAGCGTCCGACTTTCGCTTAGGTCATGATCTTGTGGTTCATGGGTTTGAGCCCCACGTCGGGATCTGTGCTGACTGCCAGCTCAGAGCCTGGAGCCTGTTTCAGAGTCTGTGACTCCCTCTCTGACCCTGCCCTGCTCACGCTGTCTCTCTCTCTCCTAGAAATAAATAAAACATTAAAAAATTAAAAAAAAATGTATGTGTAACAATTGATAAAGCGATAGGCATTTGATTATTCAATCTTCAGAAAAACTCATATACTTAAGTCAGCTGAAACACATTTATTAAACTTTCTTTTGGTAAATGGAAAATTAACCTTATATTTAGGTACAGTATAGTATCTTGAAGACACTGCACCTAGTATCTCTACTGGGAGAATAAGCTTTGAGGAATGTGGGTGGAGGAGGAGGTCATTGCAAACATATATAATAATTTCATTCCTTTATGGACTAGGGTCCTGACGTAGCCCCTTTTGTGCTTATGTTCTTTATATAGAGAAAGCATTAGGCAAATAATCGCAAATTAATGATTACAAACTGTGATAAGGACACTATAAATAGGGTGTTAGGAGAGAGACCTAAGAGGAGGGACTTGACCTGAGCCCAAGTGTCAGGTTTGCAATTGAACCACCAAAAGAGGTACTAGAAAATAGCAAAAAGTTAAGCAGCCTGAATGAAAAAATCCAATTGGAAAGAGTGTTCTTCACCTGCTATGTACCAAGCACGGAACAGTATAAACGACATTCTAAAATCTTCTCTAACAGTGGTATTAGGAAGGTCCTTTTTGAGCAAATGACATTGAAAAGCTGGGATCCGAAGGTTGAGAAAGAAACAGTAATTTGAAGAGCATAACAGGGAGAAAACAGTATGTGCAAAGTCCCTAAAACATAGCAGAACTTGGCATTGAAATAACTGAAAGAAGGCCAATGTGGCTGGAGTTGCATATTAATGCAAGGCCATTATAAGGAGTTCAGTTTTCATTCTAAGTGTGTGGGGAGTCACTGAAGGATTTTCAGAAGAGGGCTGAGTTGATGAAAATGTTAGATCTCTTGGCTACTATATGTGAAATGTAATGGAAGAAGGAGGCAAGAGTAAAAATAGTCTTAGAGGGGCGCCTGGGTGGCTCAGTCGGTTAAGTGTCTGACTTGATTTCAGCTCAGCTCATGATCTAATTGTTTGTGTGATCGAGCCCTACATGGGATTCTGCGCTGACAGTACCAAGCCTGCTTGGGGTTCTCTCGTGTGTGTTCTCTCCCACTCGTGCTCTCCCTCTCTCTCAGAAATAAATAAAAACTTAAAAAATAGGCTTAGGATGAAAGTAACCTAGACTAAAGTGGTAGTAGTGGAGTAGGAAAGGGATTGATAAATTCAAAAGATGTTTTGAACCAGTGAGACATGGAGACTGATTGAATGGGAGAGGGTGGGGATCAAGAATAGCTGCCTGGATTTCATTTTGGTGGTGCCATTTAATAAATGAAGAATCCTTTGCAAGGGGGACAAATCTGAAAAAGGATAATTAATCTTTTTTTTTTTTAATCATTTATTTGAGAGAGAGTGCATGCATGCACGGGGGAGGGGCAGAGGGAGATGGAGAGAGAATCCCAAGCAGGTTCCATGCTGTCCGTGAGGAACGTGACTCGGGGTTTGATCTCATGAACTGTGAGATCATAAACTGAGCCAAAATCGAGAGTGTGACACTTAATGAACCGAGCCATCCAGGCACCCTGACAATCTGTTTTGAACAAAATGAGTTGGAGATATTTGTGAAGCCAACCAGTAGAAATGTGGAGATAAAACCTCTGATCTTTTGAGGGGTCTAGTCTTGTTGGAAAGATAAGAATGTTTAACAGGAACAATTGGATAATGTTA